TTAACCAGGTGTGGTGGCAGGCACCTGTAAGTCCCAGCTACGTAGGAGGCTGAGGTAGGAGAATCGCTTGAACCCAGGAGGTGGAGGTTACAGTGAGCAGAGATCATGCCACTACACTCCAGCTTGGGTAACAGAAGACTGTCTTAATAAAAAAAGAAAGAAAGAAAAGAGCTATGGGACATTCCATGGGCATATGGACTGTATCCAATAGGTCAGCAGTGCTCAGTGTCACCAGGCTTGGCTAATTTTGTAATTTTTTGTGGAGCCCAGGGTCTTGCCTGTGTTGCCCAGGCTGGTCTCGAACTCCTGGACTCAAGTGATCCTCCCCACTTGGTCTCCCATAATGCTGGGATTACAGGTGTGAGCCCACCATGCCCAGATGTTTTCCCTCTTCTAATAATGATTACCATTTATTGGGCACATACTATATTCCAGGTACTCCTTTTGCCACATTAGATTTATTATTTCATTTTGTCCTTAAAACAACCCTGTAAGATATTATTATCACTGTTCTTTAGATAAAATTAAGACTGAGAAGTTTTGTGTGTGTGTGTGTGTTCTTTTTTTTTTTTTTTTTGAGATGGAGTTACGCTCTTGTTACCCGGGCGGGAGTGCAATGGCGCAATCTCGGCTCACTGCAACCTCCGCCTCCTGGGTTCAGGCAATTCTCCTGCCTCAGCCTCCTGAGTAGCTGGGATTACACCATGCCCAGCTAATTTTTTGTATTTTTAGTAGAGACGGGGTTTCACCATGTTGACCAGGATGGTTTCAATCTCTTAACCTCGTGATCTACCCGCCTCGGCCTCCCAAAGTGCTGGGATTACAGGCTTGAGCCACCGCGCCCGGCTGACACTGAGAAATTAAGTCGATTGCACAGGATCATGTGGCCAGTAAGAGGCAGAGTGTATTTGAGTGCAGGTCTGCTTAGCCTCAAAGCCTGCCTCTTAGTCACTATACTATATTTCTTCTATCCAAAAGACTTTTTTTTCCCTTAAAAATAGAAGTATTTAATAAGAACATTAAGCATAACAATTATCTTCAACAAGTATTGCTAATTACTCAAAAGATCACACATAAATATATTTAAAAGCACATGGTTGTAGTTGTTCCATTTTTAATAATCCTTAACTTTCCTGTAGGTTTTTGGAAACATTTTTAGTAAACATTGAAGAATAGGGACCAAGGGTCATTTGGGGATTTTCTTTCTGTTTTCAGATGTGCCTTAAAGACATTATCAGAGCACAGACGCATGGGTATCCAGAAAGATTGCAACCCAAGATAATGTTACGTAAAGCAGAATGTCTGATGGCCCTGGGGAGACTACAGGAGGCGCGCCAGACCATCAGTGATCTTGAAAGGAACTTCACTGCCAGCCCAACCCTAGCAGATTTCCCCTCTCAGAGTGTGCAGAGAAACCTCCATCTTCTGAAAATGAAAGCACAAGACAAGGAGAATCTCACAGAAACCTTCCCGGTAGCTCTTGCCAAAACCCTTGAGGGTGTGGACCTAAGAGAAGAGAATAAACAACTTTCCAATGCCTCATCATCTGTTGGCTTATGCATGGATCCTTTAAAAGGTCGCTATCTCGTGGCCACAAGAGAGATTCTCCCAGGAGAGCCCCTGGTGAAGGAGGATGCTTTTGTGAGTGTTCTTAACCCAGGAGAACTGCCACCACTGCATCACAGCCTAGAGAGCAAATGGGACACCAGAGTTACCAATGGGGACCTCTACTGTCACCGATGCTTGAAGCACACTCTGGCCACAGTTCCCTGTGATGGATGCAGCTATGCCAAGTATTGCAGCCAAGAGTGTTTGCAGCAGGCCTGGAAGCTCTACCATAGGATAGAATGTCCTCTAGGTGGGCTGCTTCTCACACTGGGTGTGTTTTGCCACATTGCCCTGAGGTTGACTCTCTTGGTGGGATTTCAGGATGTCAGCAAAATCAGGAAGCTTTGTGATGAGTTTAGTAATAAGGACATACCTGAAAGCAGCAATTGGGTTAAGACACTTAATTCTGGCCTAGGGGAGATTGAGAAAAATGGCAAAATCGTTGAGACCCCAATTCCTGGATGCGATGTTAATGGGAAGTATGAAAGTAATTATCAGGCTGTCTTCAACCTTTTGCCCCATACTGAAAACCATAGCCCAGAGCACAAATTCCTCTGCGCGCTCTGTGTTTCTGCACTGTGCAGGCAGCTAGAAGCAGCCAGTTTCCAGCCCGTCACAACAGGTGCAAGCTCCTCCCAGCTGAAAGCAGCAGTGGCGCCTGAGTTGTGTCCAGACATGACTGTTTGGGGTGTGGTGATGCTCCGACACATGCTCCAGCTACAGTGTAACGCCCAGGCGATAACCACCATACTGCACACAGGTAAGAGGGAAACTGATGTGCCTGCTGACAGTATTAGTCTTGATGGAGCAGGTGTTTGAGAAGAAAGAATTGCAAAGGAAAATAGTAGGATTCAAAAAAATCAGTGAGCTGATAGGGTCACTAAGCTGCCTTGTTTATTATGACATTAAGAAGCTATATGACCAGCCGGGTTCGGTGGCTCATGCCTGTAATCCCAGCCCTTTGGGAGGCTGAGGCGGGTGGATCATGAGGTCCAGAGATTGAGACCATCCTGGCCAATATGGTAAAATCCTGTCTCTACTAAAAATACAAAAAAAAAAAAAAAAAAAAAAATTAGCTGAGCATGGTGGTGCGTGCCTGTAGTCCAAGCTACTCGGGAGGCTGAGGTAGGAGAATTGCTTGAACCTGGGAGGCAGAGGTTGCAGTGAGCCTAGATAGCACCACTACACTCCAGCTTGGTGACAGCTGAGGGTTTTTTTTGACCCCATCTCAAAAAAATAATAATAATTTGATACCATTCTGCCTTGGTTTTCTCATCTGTAAAATGAGTAGTTTTATCCCAGCTAACTGTGCAGAGTTGTATAAAGCTGTGTTTGTAAAAATCATTTCAAAAGTCCATATTACTGAAAAAAATTTTTTTTAATTTTTTTTTTTTGAGACAGAGTCTTTCTCTGTCTCCCAGGCTGGTGTGCAGTGGTGCAATCTCAGCTCACTGTAACCTTCACCTCTCAGGTTCAAACGACTCTCGTGCCTCAGCCTCCCAAGTAGCTAGGATTACAGGCATGCGCCACCACACCTGGCCAATTTTTTTTGTTTCGTTTTTAGTAGAGATGGGGTTTTGCCATATTAGCTAAGTGGAACTTGAACTTCTGGCTTCAGGCAGTCCACCCTCGTTTGCCTCCCAAAGTGCTAAGATTACATGCATGAGCCACTGCTGCCAGCCTTTTTAAAAAAAATTTAAAATTTTTTTTGAAGTGGAGTTTCTTGTCACCCAGGCTGGAGTGCAGTGGCACCATCTCAGCTCACTGCAGCCTCTACCTCACGGATTCAAGCAATTCTCCTGCCTCAGCCTCCCGAGTAGCTGGGATTACAGGCATGTACCACCATGCCTGGTTAATTTTGTACTTTCAGTAGAGACAGGGTTTCACCGTGGTGGTCAGACTGGTCTCAAAGTCCCGACTTTGGGTGATCCACCCACCTTGGCCTCCCAAAGTGCTGGGATTACAGGTGTGAGCCACCTCACTGAGATTTAAATTTTTTTAAATAGAGATAAGAGACTTGCTATGTGGCCCAGGCTGGTCTTAAACCCCTGGGCTCAAGGAGTTCCCCACCTCAGCCTTCCCAAGTGCTGGGATTACAGGCATGAGCAACCACACCTGACCTGAGATTTTTTTGGTTATGAAGGAAAACTGTCTTAAATAAATAGTAATAGCAAGTTTGTTATAAGGATATATATACAAGAGGCCTGGTACAGTGGCTTACGCCTGTAATCCCAGCACTTCAGAAGGCTGAGGTGGGCAGATCACCTGAGGTCAGGAATTCAAGACCAGCCTGGGCATCATGACAAAAAACAAACATTAGCCGAGTACAGTGGTATGCGCCTATAAGTCCCAGCTACCTGAGAGGCTAAGGCAGGAGAATGGGTCGAACCCAGGAAGCTGAGGCAGGAGAATCACTTCAGCCCAGGAGGCAAAGGTGGCAGTGAGTGGCCAAGATTGCACCACTGCACTCCAGCCTGGGCGAAACACTGTCTCAAGTAAAAACAGGTACACACACAAGAATCCAGAGAAAGCTGTATAGTTTTTCCTTAGGGAGGGCAGAAGTGAAAGTTAAACTAGCCTGCAGAAAGAAGAGGGCCTGTAGCTGAGTAAGGTATCAAACTTTTTTTCTTTTTGAGACAGAGTTTCACTCTTGTTGCCCGGGGTTGGAGTGCAATGGAGTGATCTTGGCTTGCTGTAACTGCCACCTCCTGGGTCCAAGTGATTCTCCTGCCTCAGCCTCCCGAGTAGCTGGGATTACAGGCATGTTCCACCACGCCCGGATAATTTTGTACTTTTAGTAGAGACAGGGTTTCTCCATGTTGGTCAGGCTGATCTCGAATTCCCAACCTCAGGTGATCCGCCCACCTGGGCCTCCCAAAGTGCTGGGATTACAGGCACGAGCCACTGTGCCCAGCTTTTTTTTTTCTTTTTTGAGACAGAGTTTCGCTCTTGTTACCCAGGCTGGAGTGCAATGGCGCGATCTCGGCTCACCACAACCTCCGCCTCTTGGGTTCAGGCAATTCTCCTGCCTCGGCCTCCCAAAGTGCTGGGATTACAGGCGTGAGCCACCGCGCCCGGCCTTTTCTTTCTTTCTTTCTTTCTTTTTTTTTTTTAGATGGAGTATTGCTCTGTTACCCAGGCTACAGTGCAGTAGCGTGATCTTGGCTCACTGCAACCTCCATCTGCTGGGTTCAAGTGATTCTCCTGCCTCAGCCTCCTGAGGAGCTGGGATTACAGGCACACACCACCACGTCCAGCTAACTTTTGTACTTTTAGTAAAGATGGGATTTCACCATGTCGACCAGGCTGGTCTCGAACTCCTGACCTCTCGTGATCTGCCTGCCTCAGTCTCCCAAAGTGCCAGGACTGCAGGCATGAGCTGCTGCACCCAGCCAGGTATTAGACTCTTAACTCACTGAGCTACTCTCTGTCTTCTCTTTCCAATTGACACATATTTCTCATTCTTCTAAATTTCCGAGAGAGGAATCAAGCCCAGCACAGCCTTCCACCCCACACTGTACCATAAGCTGCCTGCCTACATATTGCCTGTGCTTTGATCAAGGAGCCACCTCTAAACAGACCCGCCGGCTTAGCCCCACTTTCCTGAGCTGGAGTCTATAGATAATGTGACTTAAGATAGACGGGAACGTTGGATGTGCCAGAATCTTGATCCAGTGTGACATCTCCAGTGTGACTACTGACAACAGATACAACTATTATTAGAAAAGTGGCATTTGCAGTATTTCTTTGTATAAGCTTTATTTTAACAGAAAATGTTTTTTGACTCAATCTGTTCATTATACTTTTCCTAATTTTTTCGGTTAACTCTCTTGAGAGGGAAGAAACTAGGTCCTAGCTAAACCGAGTTTTTGTAGACAGATTAATATTAAATGTGACTTAACTATACATGTTTAGCTCATTTGATCTTCTCACATTAGATAATCTAGAATTTGTCAACCTATTTTTGTGTGTATTTTTATGTTTAATTTTACTTTGGCAGGCAAGTTATATTGTATATAGGTATCTTGCTAGACATGTTTTGGCCATGATTCTCTTCCCCGTCCTGAAGCACATGGAACATCCAAAAATAGAACTGGCCTCATCCCCTGATACTACTAAATCACGTTTCAAGTTAGTCTGTGTTCTTCTCTGCCCTCCTGTTTCTTTGAGCCATTGCTACCTTCTAAAATACAGCTGTTGAGTGTTTTTCCAGAATTATGTTTTCCTTTGCGCACATTCACTTGCATTTTTTAATACACTTATTTTGTTTTTCTGAACATAATATATGGGGCTTCCAGATTAAAGAGCAGAAAGTTACCAACTCTTAATTCCATGTCTTGCCTTTAAAATACTTAATAGGGCCTGGTGCAGTGACTCACGTCTATAATCCAAGCACTTTGGGAGGCCAAGGCAGGTGGATCATGAGGTCAGGAGTTCAAGACCAGCCTGACCAACATGGCAAAACCCCGTCTCTACTAAAAATACGAAAATTAGCTGGGTGTGATGGCGCACACCTATAGTCCCATCTGCTTGGGAGGCTGAGACAGGAGAATCGCAGGAGGTTGCAGTGAGCCTATATCATGCCATTGCACTCCAGCCTGGGTGACACAGCGAGATTCCATCTTAAAAAAAAAAAAAAAAAAGCCAGGCGCTATGGCTCACACCTGTAATCCCGATACCTTGGAAGTTGAGAAGGGAGGATTGCTTGAAGGTATGAGTTTGAGATTAATCTGGGCAACAGAGTGAGACCCCCATCTCTATAGAACATAAAATAAGCCAGTCACAGTGTTATGCATCTGTAGTCCCAGCTACTCAGGAGGTTGATTAGGGAGGTGGCTTGAGCCAGAGTTCGGCTGCAGTGAGCTATGATCATGCCACCGAACCCCAGCCTGGGTATCAGAGCAAGATCCCTCTTGGGCCGGGTGCGGTGGCTCAAGCCTATAATCCCAGCACTTTGGGAGGCCAAGGCGGGTGGATCACAAGGTCAAGAGATCGAGACCATCTTGGTCAACATGGTGAAACCCTGTCTCTACTAAAAATACAAAAAATTAGCTGGGCATGGTGGCGTGTGCCTGTAATCCCAGCTCCTCGGGAGGCTAAGGCAGGAGAATTGCCTGAACCCAGGAGGCGGAGGTTGCGGTAAGCGAGATCACGCCATTGCACTCCAGCCTGGGTAACAAGAGCGAAACTCTGTCTAAAAAAAAAAAAAAAAAAAAAAGATCCATCTTGGGATTTAGAAAAAGAGGCTCACTCCTGGGGCACGGGGGCTCACTCCTGTAATCCCACCACTTTGGAAGGCCAAGGTGAGAGAATTGCGTGAGTCCAGGAGTTCAAGACCAGCTTAGGCAATATAGTGAGACCCTGTTTGTTAAAAAAAAAATTGCCTAAATTGTCCCAGAAGGAGGAAAACACTTCAAAAAGCCAGCAATTGTAGAAGAGTCAAGGTACCAAAATACTTCCATTAAAATAAGGCAGACCTATTTGTTTCCATGTGAATTCTTTTTTTTTTTTGAGACGGAGTTTCACTCTTGTTATCCAGGCTGGAGTGCAATGGCACGATCTCGGCTCACCGCAACCTCCGCCTCCTGGGTTCAGGCAATTCTCCTGCCTCAGCCTCCCGAGTAGCTGGGATTACAGGCACACACCACCATGCCCAGCTAATTTTTTGTATCTTTAGTAGAGACAGGGTTTCACCATATTGACCTGGATGGTCTCGATCTCTTGACCTCGTGATCCACCCGCCTCGGCCTCCCAAAGTGCTGGGATTACAGGCTTGAGCCACCGCGCCCAGCATAAATTCTTTAAAACTTTTTTATCTTTTTTTGGGAGACAGAGTCTCGCTCTGTAACCCAGGCTGAAGTGCAGTGGCGCGATCTCAACTCACTGTAACCTCTGCCTCCCAGGTCCCAGTTCAAGCAGTTCTCCTACCTCAGCCTCCCAAGTAGCTGGGTTTACAGGCATGTACTACCATGCCCAGCTAATTTTTGTATTTTTAGTAGAGATGGGGTTTCACCATGTTGGCCAGGCTGGTCTTGAACTCCTGACCTCGTGATCCACCTGCCTCAGCCTCCCAAAGTGCTGGGATTACAGGCATGAGCCACCACACCTGGCCTGAATTCTTTAAAACTTTTAGGGGGGTTAGGGAATTCATGTGGAGGTCAGAGTGGAAGCAGGTGTGAGAGGGTCCAGCATAAGAAAACATGGCTGCCAAAGTGTTTGAGACCATTGGCAAGTTTGGCCTGGCCTTAGCTGTTGCAGGAGGTGTGGTGAACTCGGCCTTATATAATGTGGATGCTGGGCACAGAGCTGTCATCTTTGACCGATTCCGTGGAGTACAGGACATTGTGGTAGGGGAAGGGACTCACTTTCTCATCCCATGGGTACAGAAACCAATTATCTTTGACTGCCATTCTTGGCCATGTAATGTGCCAGTCATCACTGGTAGCAAAGATTTACAGAACGTCAACATCACACTACGAATTCTCTTCCGGCCCATTGCTAGCCAGCTGCCTCTCATCTTCACCAGCACCAGAGAGGACTATGATGAGTGTGTGCTGCCGTCCATCACGACCGAGATCCTCAGGTCAGACATGGCTCGCTTTGATGCTGGAGATCTGATCACTCAGAGAGAGCTGGTCTCCAGGCAGGTGAGCGACGACCTTACAGAGCGAGCAGCCACCTTTGGGCTCATCCTGGACGATGTGTCCTTGACACATCTGACCTTCAGGAAGGAGTTCACAGAAGCGGTGGAAGCCAAACAGGTGGCTCAGCAGGAAGCAGAGAGGGCCAGATTTGTGGTGGAAAAGGCTGAGCAGCAGAAAAAGGCGGCTATCATCTCTGCTGAGGGCGACTCCACGGCAGCTGAGCTGATTGCCAACTCACTGGCCACCGCAGGGGATGAGCTGATCAGGCTGTGCAAGCTGGAAGCTACGGAGGACATTGCGTACCAGCTGTCACGCTCTCGGAACATCACCTACCTGCCGGCGGGGCAGTCCGTGCTCCTCCAGCTGCCCCAGTGAGGGCCCACTCTACCTGCACCTCCACAGGCTGACTGGGCCACAGCCCCAGTGATTCTTGACACTGCCTGCCTTCTGCCCCCACCCCAAAAATCACTGTGAAATCTCATGATTGGCTTAAAGTGAAGGAAATAAAGTAAAATCACTTCAGATCTCTAATTAGTCTGTCAGATGAACTGCTTTCATTCTTCTCACATCCATCTACTTTTTTATCCACCTCCCTACCAAAAATTGCCAAGTGCCTATGCAACTAACTGGCTTTAGGTTCCAGTTTGGGGTCTGCTAGAGCTCTGGCCTGGGCACCAGCATTTGACAGCACGCAGGTAGGGCAGTGTGTGATGGACTGGGGAGCACAGTTGTCTGCCTGGGTCCATGGGTGGCCTCCATCCTGTCACTGATGCTGCAAGATTTGCGGATGAGGGCATGTGACTGAACTGAGAAGGCAGGCCTCCGTCTTCCTAGCAGTTCCTGCACAGATGCTGCTGAAGAGAGGTTCTGGGGAGGGGCAGAGAGGAAGCCATCTGTCTCTTACCATAAGACTGATTCTCTTTAACTGTGTGACCAGCAGAAACAGGTGTTTGTGAACTGGGCACAGATTGAAGAATCTGCCCCTCTTGAGGTGGGTGGGCCTGATTGTTGCTCCCTAGGCTCCAATAACTAGGATGGACTTGGATAGTGAGAGAGGAGACCTGCACCGAGATGAGTCCTGTCAAAGACTTCCTCTCTACCCTACACCTTGGTCCCTCTCAAATACCCAGTGGAATTCCAACTTGAAGGATTGCATCCTGTTGGAGCTGAACATGCCTGCCAAAGACATGTCCGACCTGCGTTCCTGGCTCCCCCATTCAGAGGCTGCCCTTCTCAAGGGCTCTGTGCCTGTGCTGGGAAGGACACAACCATGGGAAGGAAACAAATGTGTGTAAACTGCTGTCAATAAATGACACCCAGACCTTCTGGCTCAAAAAAAAAGAAACAACCATCTCTGAAGAACAGATCAAAACCAAGCACAGTGACTCATGCCTATAATCCCAGAGCTTTGGAAGGCTGAGGTGGGAGAATCGCTTGAGCCCAGGAGTTGGAGACCTGTCTGGACAACACAGCAAGAGCCCATCTCTACAAAAATTAGCTGAGCATGGTGGCAGACACCTGTGGTCTCAGCAACTCAGGAAGCTGAGGTGGGAAGACTGGTAGAGCCAGAAGCAAGGCTGCAGTGAGCTACGATGGCGCCAGTGCACTCTGTCCCTGTCTCAAAAGGCTGGGCCCAGTGGCTCACGCCGGTAATCCCAACACTTTAGGAGGCCAAGGCAGGCGGATCACCTGAGGTCAGGAGTTTGAGACTTGCCTGGCCAACATGGTGAAACCCATCTCTACTAAAAATATAAAAATTAGCCACATGTTTTGGCAGGTGGCTGTAATCTCAGCTACTAGGGAGGCCGAGGCATGAGAATTGCTTGAACCTGGAAGGTGGAAGTTGCAGTGAGCCGAGATCGCGCCACTGCACTCGAGCCTGGGCAACAGAGCAAGACATTTAAAAAAAAAAAAAAAAAATCAAAGACTGAGGCAGGAGGAATGCTTGAGCCTTGGAGTTTAAGACCCCACCATGGGGAGCACCAGCAAACAAAAGAACAGCTCATTTCTACAATGTGTAAACTGTTCCAGGGGTGGGGAAACCTAGAACTCTTTCCCACTCACTTTAGAAAGCCAATAGTAAAAACTAGAGTCCAGTCTCACTTTTGAATATAGATGTAGAAGCCCCATATAAATCACTGCCATATCACATCTAGCAGTTTATTAAAGGATGAAGTAGAGTTTCTCCCAGAATTGCAAAGGCGTTTTAATTTGGGGGGATGTGAACGAAGGCCTAGATAACCACAGAGGCATGCCATATTCTAATGGGAAGACTGGAAACTTGAGGTTTCCCTGCATTAACCTCATCAATCTAATACCATTTCAAACGGAATCACAATTGAGTTTTCGTGGAACTTGACAACGTTCTAAAGTTCATCTTGAATAAATGGGTGAGAATAGCTTTTTTTTTTTAAGAGAAGTGAAAGGTCTTGGTACTGTCAGATTTCATACCAGCATTAAAGCTACAAACTTAAAAACAACTTGAAACTGATGACAGCCCCCGAAAAGGATTAGAGTCTTTTTTCAAATCATTAAAAACTTAACTGTTTCAGAATTAAACCATCAATTATCTAGATGAAGTTAAGTGAACATTTATATAGTCTTAGGGCAGGAGAGGCTTTTTAAAATACTATATAATATCAAATTTAGGTAATTAAAAGAGAGCCAGATTTAGCTACCTACGTACCAAATATCAAGAACACCATAATTGGTTGAGAAGATAAAGGATATAGGTGAGGCTGGACCCGTTGGCTCACACCTGTAATCCCAGCACTTTGGGAGGCCGAGGAGGTCAGATCACCTGAGGTCGGGAGTTCGAGACCAGCCTGACCAACAGGGAGAAACCCCATCTCTACTAAAAATACAAAATTAAAAAAAAAAAAATATGAAATTAGCCAGGCATGGTGGCGGGCACCTGTAATCCCAGCTACTCAGGAGGTTAAGGCAGGAGAATAGCTTGAGCCTGGGAGACAGAAGTTGCAGTGAGCTGAGATTGTACCACTGCACTCCAGCCCTGGACAACAAGAACGAAACTCTGTCTCAGAAAAGAAAAGAAAAAAATAAAGGATGTAGGTGAAAGAGGGCCTTGCAGGAATTGAAAACATTGCACTTTGGGAGGCCGAGGCGGGTGGATCACCCGAAGTCAGGAGTTTGAGACCAGCCCGGCCAACATGGTGAAACCCCATCTACTAAAAACACAAAACTTAGTCAGGCATGGTGGCATGTGCCTGTAATCCTAGCTGCTTGGGAGGCTGAGGCAGGAAAATCACCTGAACTGGGAGGCGAAGGTTACAGTGAGCTGAGATCATGCCACTGCCCTACATCCCGGGCAAAACGAGTGAAAAACTGCGTCTCAAAAAAAAAAAAACCCAAGAATTGAAAACATTGGACTGAGAGGCAGAAGACCTAATTTCCTGAACCTTTGTGTATGTCGGTATCATCATGGACATGACAAGACTGGATAAGCCTCAGAGCCTCTGGGGAAGACTTTGCAAACATGACCCCAGTTTTTCCCATCCCTGTAAGTTGACTCTTTGCCACTTGACATTGCTGTTTCTCTTGTCAAGAAGCAGAGTTTTTTCCCCCTCCTTGGAGTCTGGGCTGGCTCTGGAACTTGCTTTGGCCAGTAGACAGAATTGATGTTATGTAACTTTTGAGTCTAAGCCCACAGTCACCTTCTTGGAATGATAGTGTGGCCATGTGAACAAGCCTGGGCTGGCTTCCTGGAGGACAAAAGACCATGTGCCAGAGGAATGCAGTCACCTGAGTAAGCCCCAGGCAAAGCCAGCAGCAAAAAAACATTCCCCGGAGCTGAGCCAAAACTGCCGGCTTACAGAATTGTGAACAAATGAAAATATTGTTGTTTTAACAACCCTCCCCCCCAAAAAAAACTCAAACAAAAATTAAGATGTCAGTGGACAAAATGACAGAACATTTCTAGCAACAACACAGCTAAAATCAGCTTTTAAAAATACACATAGAAGCCAGGCTTAGTGGCTCACACCTGTAACCCCAGCACTTTGGAAGGCCAAGGCTGGAGGATTACTTGAGCCCAGGAGTTAAGAGACCAGCCTGGGAAACACAGTTAAACACTGTGGCTACAAAAATACAAAAATTAGTTGGGCGTGGCAGTGCGCACTTGTGGTCCCAGCTACTTGGGAGGTAGAGGCTGCAGTGAGCTGAGATCACCCCATTGCACTACAGTCTGGGCAACAGAGTGAGACCCTGTCTGAAAAATAAGATAAAAATAAAAACATGCATCGTGATGAAAATCTAAAACTGGGTTGTGTAAATTTCCCCAAAAGAGCATTGAATTATACATTTAAAACAAGTGAATTTTTATGGTAGATGGATTATATTTTAATACAGCCGTTAAAAGTACACATGAGACCAGGCGCTGTGGCTCATGCCTGTAATCCCCAAACTTTGGGAGGTCATGGTGGGCGGATCACAAGGTCAGGAGTTCAAGAGCAGCCTGGCCAATATAGTGTAACCCCGTCTCTACTAAAAGTACAAAAATTAGCCGGGTGTGGTGGCACATGCCTGTAGTCCCAGCTACTCAGGAGGCTGAGGCAGGAGAATCACTTGAACCTGGGAGGCAGAGGTTCCAGTGAGCCGAGACGACACCATTGCACTCCAGCCTGGGTGACAGAGAGATTCCGTCTCAAAAAAAAGTACACATGAGCAAGCCTGTATCAAAGTAGATAGTGATAAATAAAAACGGCCACCCTGTAACCTTTCTCTAGTAAGTAGGACACCATTGGCCTATCACAGCAGCAGAGTTGTTTTGTTGATTTTGTTTTTCTTTTTTGAGACAGGGTCTCTCTCTGTTGCCCAGGCTGGAGTGCAGTGGTGTGATCTCAGTCCACTGAAGCCTCAACCTCCAGATCCTCCCTCCTCAGCCACCCGAGTAGCTGGGCTCAGGTGTGCACCACCACACCAGGCTAACTTTTCTATTTGTAGACATGGGGTTTTGCCAGATTGCCCAGGCTGGTCTCAAACTCTTGAGCCCAAGTGATCCTCCTGCCTCAACCTCCCAAGGTGCTGGGATTACAGGGGTGACCCACCGCACCCCGCCTGTATTTTTAATTCTAAAATGTATTTTAGGTTAGGATTTAAAGACAAAATGTTATATCTGCCTGAAGGATTACAAGCGACTATCATTTTCTCTGTAAGGTTCAGTTTTTAAATTTTTTTCTGACTACCACATATTCCTTTTGTAATTTCAATGAGTTGTTTGTTTGTTTGCTTGCTTTTAGAGACAGGGTCTTACTCTGTCGCTCAGGCTGGAGTGCAGTGGGGTGATCATAGCTCACCGTAACTTCGAACTCCTGGGCTCAAGCGATCCTCCCGCCTCTGACTCCCAAAGTGCTGGGATTACAGGCATGAGCCACTACACCCAGCCTCAGTTTGTTTTTTTAATAATAAAGATAATTCAAATGATAAGAGTATTTTTCTGTGACCATTTTTAAGCATTTGATTCATATTGCAAAATTGCCCTCCAGGAAAGTTCCACTGTTAGACACCCACGAGCAGTGTTCACTCTCATTTTTGAATTTCATCTAATTTTGTTTCAGTATGTTCATATTTCTAATCTTGTTATATCCCTTTTTATTATTTCTTTGGGGTTCCAATACCTCCCAATTTGGTGTTCTCATTGAATTTCATTAGCAGCTGTTTCATTAGTAGCACAGACGGATTAAAGTGTTAACTAGGATAGACTTTGACAAAAACCTATAAAAATGTATGTTGTTACCTTTACATAGATCCTATTTAATCAAAGTTCTCCAGAAACCTCTCACTAGGGCTCATCTCAAGGGACGAACTGGCCACGAATAGTTTTCTAGACCTTGACCCATGTGGTCCTCTCAGTAGGAATGGCACATTGATGATGTGTCCCAGTTTGGGTCATGACAAGGTTGTGTGGGGTTCTGAGTCCTATCCCCGCACATCGGTTCACTGCTCTTTGCTTTCATTCTTCGACAACAAAGGAATCTACCTTCAGTTTGAGTCCTTGATTGGACACACAGCCTCAGACTTCTCATGGTGCAAAATATACACCTGCGTATGTCTATTCTGGAAGTATCATGAACGAGTCTTTTCTTCGTTACTTGAATCCCAGTTTAAATGCACTAGGGATATTAGCAAGATTCCCTTCTGGTATAGAGTCACTCCCTCTTTATTTTAATACAAAATGTCACAGACTAAATTTGGTTGATGAAGTACGTACATATTCTCACTTTCTATTATCTCTACGAATAGATCACTAATGCAAAATATGGAGTAATTTTTAAAAATCAATACTTAATTTTTTAGAAATAATTAGAGAGATACTCAGCTCTGACATAAATGCCCACACAGTTCCTGGGCCTACTTCTGTCAGAGGCTAATCTATAAATAATTCACAGAGGTGACATTACTCACTCTATTGTGATCATCCTTCTCTGGAAGATTTTAGCAACAGTTCTGATATAGATTGCCAGTTATCAGTACTTGGCAATGCAAGTCCACTTTTAATTATGCAGAGGCTGGTTATTCAGACTCAAGCTCTTCATGGCCTGAACAGCTCCTTCCTGCCACCTGCCTTTGAGCATTTTCACTGCTCATTAGCACATATGCCAGAAGGTGGGAATTGGACGAGGTAGGAAGAAGAAACAAAAATCAGCAAAGCACTTCGGAGAAGCTCTGACGAAAGATTTTAATACAGTTCGTAGAATTATTAACTAGAATTGAGTCATTTGGATTCCCTGTGAAATGTATTTACTTGCTCTCCTTAGCAACAGATAGTAGAATTGCCTGCAGAGAGACATTATTCCTGTATTTAATGTTTTTCTTTATAAAACATTTTCTTTTTTGGGGAGGAGGGACAGAGTCTCACTGTGTCACCCATGCTGGAGTGCAGTGGTGTGATCTTAGCACTGCAACCTTTGCCTCCCAGTTTTAAGCGATTCTCCAGCCTCAGCCTCCCGAGTAGCTGAGATAACAGGTGCACACCACCATGCTCAGCTAAGTTTTTATATTTTGAGTAGAGACGAGGTTTCACCAAGTTGGCCAGGCTGGTCTCAAACTCTTGACATCAAGTGATCCACCTGCCTCAACCTCCCGAAGTGCTAGGATTACAGGCGTGAGCCACCACACCTGGCCCATAAAACATTTTCACATGATGGTTCATAATATTTTGTTCATTACATTTGTACCTAGACCTATTTATTTCTTTGGTGAATTTGGTTTTCTTATTTGTTTGTTTTGTTTTGTGAGACAGAGTTTTGCTCTGTTGCCTGGGCTGGAGTGCAGTGGCGTGATCTTGGGTCACTGCAACCTCTGCCTCCAAGTTCAAGCAATTCTCGTACCTCAGCCTCCCAAGTAGCTGGGACTACAGGTGAATGCCACCATGCCCAGCTAATTTTTGTATTTTTAACACAGACAGGGTTTTGCCATTTTGGCCAGGCTAGTCTCAAGCTTCTGACCTCAGGTGATCTGCCTGCCTCAACCTCCTAAAGAGCTGGATTATAGGCATGAGCCACAGCACCCAGCCTGGTGAATGGGTTGTTGTTTTTTTTAATATTCCTGGCATATATTCAGTGATATCACGATTATTTGATGCTTTTCTAGTTTTCCAGAAAACTTAATATTTTCTTTTAAATACTGGTATCATTTATCTTCCAACATGTTTTGTTGAAAACACAGTTCTCCTCAGGCTTAAACTGAGGCTACTGAACATAATTTAAGTGTTTCTGTATGTTCAGGGTTATCTTTGCTGTACATACTCCTAGGACAGGTGGCTTTGACAAAAGCTGGCACAGGGAATGCCTTTGGCTAAGTGAAATGTTACAGGTGTACTTTTAAAATGCTACTTAGCCACATGTTTTCTTTTCGGAAATCAACAGAATTTTAAAGTAAACTACTGTGGGCCTGAAAAGACCAAAAAAGCAAAAGAGAGAGACAGAAATGTTACATATTAGTAAAACTTTTTTTTTTTTTTTTTTTTTTTTTAATAGAGACAGGGTTTCACCATATTAGGCTGGTCTCGAACTCCTAACCCCAGGTGATCCAACTGCCTCGGCCTCCCAAAGTGCTGGGATTACAGGTGTGAGCCACCACACCTGGCCAGTAAAACTTTTTTTAAAATTTTATTATTTTTTCAGATGGTCTGCTCTGTGACCCAGGCTGGAGTGCAGTGGTGTGATTGTGGCTCATTGCAGCCTCGCACTTCCAGGCTCAGTGGATCCTGCCACCTCAGCCTCCTGAGTAACTGGGATTACAAGTGTGTACCACCACTGCTAACTAACTTCAAAAATTTTGTGGGGGCCAGGCGCAGTGGCTCATGCCTGTAATCCCAGCACTCTGGGAGGCCTAGGCGGGTGGATCATGAGGTCAAGAGATTGAGACCATCCTGGCCAACATGGTGAAACCCCGTCTCTACTAAAAATAGAAAAATTAGCCAGGCATTTGGCATGCTAATAGTTAGTCCTAGCTACTTGGGAGGCTGAGGCAGAAGAATTGCTTGAAACTGGGAGGCAGAGGTTGCAGTGAGCCGAGACTGCGCCACTGTGCTCCAGCCTGGGTAACAGAGCAAGACTCCATCTCAAAAGTTTTTTTTTTTGTAGAGACCAGATCTAGCTATGTTCTCCAGACTGGTCTTGAACTCAAGCAATCCTTCTGCCTGAGCCTCAGAATGACAGGCATGAGCCTTGATGCCTGGCCTGCTTCAAGGTATCAAGTTCAGGGTGGTAACTAGGTCACTTGTTCTATTAACCAACCAAAGACCCAATTAACAAAGCCCTTGACTAGAAAAGTCTTTGGGAAGAAGCCTCAACAGGTGCTGTGGTTTCTGTGTTCTTCCCTCATGAACATTAGGAAACTATCTAGAACGCTCCCTACTGATCATTCCGTTTTTGTTATTTTTTTTATAAATTCTCATCGTTGGCTGTTTCGTGGTGTAGAGACACCGCTGTTAGGTCCCAGGACTCCAGTGAACTTCGTGTGCACATCACGTGGCTTCCTGGGGACCGGAGCTTGCTGTGAGGCATGTTCCATCTGATTTCTGTTGGACCTGGCTGTGGAGCCATGACTCAGATGGGCTGCAGGCCTAGCTGCCCGGCTCATCGTGTGAGGAACAGACGGCAAGGCCAGGGCTCCCATCCTGACACATCTTTCCTTTCCTCTTGCCCTTTCAGGATCTAAAGAGGGCATTGTCACTGGCAGCAGGCAGGTGCGCCTGGCCACGGGCATCTTCCCTGTCATCAGCCTCCTGAACCACTCCTGCAGCCCCAACACCAGCGTGTCCTTCGTGAGCACGGTCGCCACCATCCGGGCATCACAGCGGATTGGAAAGGGGCAAGAGATTCTCCACTGCTACGGTGAGCCGTGCCTCCACACTGCCGCCCTGCCCTTCTCCAGGAGGAAAGGACAGGGTGGATGCCAGTGAGCAAGCCATCAGGCATGTGACTTCACCTGCAAGAGGCAGTGCATACTTAGGCCAAAAAAGAGGGAAGGAGGGAAGGAAGGGCCTTCTTACTAGGGCCCTATTGTGGCTGAACTGTGTCTCTGTTTAATCGCTATAAACTTCCTCTTCTGAAAATGGGCTAGGAACAACTTCTTGGCTTCTCTTCCTTCCTGCCTTAGCAACTTGGAAGCTTATTTTAGTATCTAGTTCCACAAATGTTTGAGTAAAGGTTATCTGTCAAATGATAAATAATTGTCCAGACCCTGTGCTAGGCTGAAGGTTTTTAAGAAGTGTTTGAGGGCTGGGCGCAGTGGCTCAAACCTGTAATCCCAGCACTTTGGGAGGCCTAGGCGGGTGGATCATGAGGTCAAGAGATCGAGACCATCCTGGTCAACATGGTGAAACCCCGTCTCTACTAAAAATACAAAAAATTAGCTGGCATGGTGGCGCGTGCCTGTAATCCCAGCTACTCAGGAGGCTGAGACAGGAGAATTGCCTGAACCCAGGAGGCGGAGGTTGCGGTGAGCCAAGATCGCACCATTGCACTCCAGCCTGGGTAACAAGAGCGAAACGCCATCTCAAAACAAAATAAAACAAGAAGTGTTTGACTCTCTTGCTTTAAATCTTGGCTAAGGGTGATCTCTCTCCAGGGCCTCACAAGAGCCGGATTGGGGTGGCCGAAAGGCAGCAGAAGCTGAGGTCTCAGTATTTCTTTGACTGCACCTGTCCAGCTTGTCAGACTGAGACACGCTGTATGGCTGCAAGGCCCAGGTGGGAGGCTTTCTGCTGCAACAGCTGCAGAGCGCCCATGCAGGTAATTCTGTCTTCTCTACTTTTCCTGGCGGTCAGTTATCCAGCACAAGGGTGAGAAGCGTTGAGGAGGAAGCCAGCAGGGCCTTCTAAGTGCTGAGAGCAGTAATACTATCTCCATTTTCGCCAGTCATCCCCATACACTGGTTACTCCTCCAAAGAAACCACAGAGAAAGCTTTCATTTAGTGATGGAGACTGTTCCGGTGCACTCCAGCCTCGGCAACAGAGTGAGACTCAGCCTCAAAAAAAAAAAATTAGCCTGGTGTCAGGCACCTGTAATCCCAGCTACTAGGGAGACTGAGGTGGGAGAATCACCGGAACCCGGGAGGCGGAGGTTGCAGTGAGCTGAGATCGGCCACTGCACTCCAGCCTGGGTGACAGAGTGAAACTCCATCTCAAAAAAAAGAACACATGTCACTCTAACAGCAGCCTGGGCAAAGGTGTTACTGTGTCTCATTGACCTGAGAACTATGACTAGAGGAAAATTAGAGGTAGTTTTTCTCCAGCCATCTGGGCCAGAGGAATGATGGAATGAGCCATGTGTGAGCCACGGGCCATGGGACTGAGGGGAAAGGCATCCTCGTGAGAAACTGGGATGCTGTTGCCAGATGAGAAAACAGATACCAGCATTTGAAACACAGCAAACATCCACCTCGGAGGCTTCCCCTCTGCCAGGCGGTGCAGTATTCTTAGGGGAATCATGAGTCAGTGCAGAGCTGGCTGTGTTAGAAAGCTGAGTGCGCAAACCCAAGGTCAAATGCAGGACAGTCACACCTAGCACCTTTTTCTGTTACTTTTCTTTCTTTCTTTCTTTTTGAGATACGGAGTCTTGCTCTATTGCCCAGGCTGGAATGCAATGGTGCAATCTCCACTTACTGCAGCCTCCGCCTCCCAGATTCAAGCAATTCTCCTGCCTCAACCTCTCAAGTAGCTGAAATTACAGGTGCATGCTACCACACCCAGCTAATTTTTGCATTTTCAGTAAAGACGGGGTTTCTCCATGTTGGCCAGGCTGGTCTCAAACTCCTGGCCTCAGTGACCCACCCACCTTGGCCTCCCAGAGTTCTGGGATTACAGGCGTGAGCCACCGCGCTCAGCCTTTCTACTGGTTTTCTTGTGACTTTTTCATAACCACTAGAAATGTTTGTCATCTCAAGTCCTAGCCCCAAAAAGACACGAGAGGGGTATAGAAATTGAAAGAAACTGTGGACTAGACCAGTTCTGTTCCAAAAATGAAATCTCAGGTGGCTCAGCGACTGCCTTCCTTAGAATTGCTGCTCTCAAACCAAATTCATTCAGGCTTTGGTCATGACGTTTTATTAGAGGAGGCTCTTTCCTCCATGAGGCAAGAAACTATGGAGCGATCCTCTAATGTAAGCACGGGCAGTGCTGATAACCGACTCTGGCATTGGAATAAAGAGAAAACTGACTTCCACAGGGAGATGACGTGCTGAGCTGTGGCCGCAGAGGCTGTGCAGAATCCGTCCGCAGGGACCACCTCACCTCTCGCTTACAGGACCTTCGGCAGCAGGTTGGAATGGCCCAGAAGCTTCTCAGCGATGGTAAACTAGGTGAGGCTGGCTCCCTGCTTTGGTCCTCTAGCTCCTTCCCTTTTATTCATTCTGATGCATTTTGGACTCAAGGATACTCAGTACTGATTGAAGAACTGAATGTAATCCCCATGCCAGCCACAAGATGGCTATATAGGCCAGTGAGAGCAAACCCTAACCAACTCTGTTACTGTGGTGCCCTTGAAAAGGGGCCAGATGACTCAGGCCGTTGTTTTCTTATGCATCAGATTGCTAAGTTAAAGCACCCCTGCCAAGCAACGGCTGAGCTCGGACATCCATGAGCTTTGTGCAATTCCAGAAGTTCAGTGTCATTTATGTTAATTCCAGGGCTTAGTGACAACTTGCTAGAAGGCGGGTCTGCTCTTATCAGAGCTCTTCTGTTTTAGAGAGCAGCGGGGCATGAGCCCAACGGATAAGAGTGTCTTGCTTTTTTCAGAAAGACAGTTGTGGAACTCCCCATTACCCTTGAAAACCCTACCTTAGAGCTTGACATCATGGATTGTACTTACCCTGCTCTATGAACGTTGACCTTCAGCTTAGATCTCAGGGTCAGGAGAAACCATGGCCATACATGGAGGGTAGAGGTGGTCATGTTGGAAGGCTGATGCTGCAAACCCAGGGCAAATGTGGGGAGGCCTCCCCTGGCACCTTTCTCTATTGACAGAAAAGAGAACAGCAGCTTTATTGGATCGGACATCAGGGTTGGTCACAACCCAGGGAGGCCAAGGGGAATTTCCACATTAAGCACAGCTGATTGAGAATTTGAGGCTGGGTGTGGTGGCTCACACCTGTAATCCAAGCACTTTGGAGGCCAAGGCGGGGATCACCTGAGGTCGGGAGTTAAAGACCAGCCTGACCAACATGGTGAAACCCCATCTTAAAAAAAGAAAACAGAAAAAAAAAAAGGAGAATTTGAGACCTGGGTTCTCGTTTCTAGGGGTGGGCTTATGTGTATAGTGAGGCGTCTTTCCTCTGAATTGACAGAGCCAGCCATTCAGCAGCTGTCATGGTGCCAGCATGATGCTGGGAGCTTCCTGTCGGCAGAGCACGCCGTGCTGGGAGAGATCGAAGATGGCCTGGCCCAGGCCTGTGCTGCCTTAGGTACGGCACGGCCTCCGTGTTCTGCCTCAGGAACACGTCTACCCTGGATGCCTCGTCGGGTCCCGGCCTTGTCTGCCCCACTCTGTAAACTGAGGCTGTTGTCCTGTCATTCACCTTCCTCACCCCTGAAAATGTGCATCCACAGTTGACCATGGTTCTTTTCTGGAGCAAGATCTTTCTTTTCTCACAGGGGACTGGCAGAAGTCAGCTACCCATCTACAGAACAGCCTCCGAGTGGTTGAGGCTCGCCACGGGCCGTCCAGTGTTGAAATGGGCCATGAGCTTTTCAAGCTGGCCCAGATCTTTTTCAATGGGTGAGTCTTCCCCTTTCCTACTTCACAGGCACATACTGTTCTTTTCCTAGGCTCTTCTGGGTATTCCTGTTTTTGTATGGTGTTTTTAAAAGCATGCTGAAACTTCCTTATTTCCTGTTTAGGAGAGATCTTGCCTTCTGTTTTGCTAACAAACTTAATGCTTTAGAATTTCCTCCTGGGAGATAAGGGGGAAGCTTTTGGATCTCAAGTGAGTTTCCCAGAGAGAACTTGGCCAGGCAGTCCCGCCCAGCCTCCAGCAAAGCTTGCTTCCAGCTCCTCTGGTAAATCACAGCCCCTGACTTTCTCACTCCCAGCATGCTCAGCTGCAGGCTCTCTGCCTTTCCCTACTCTGCATTCTGTTCCTTTTAAAGCATTTGTTTGAACCAGGGCTGATTTTACCCCCAGACAACCTTTGGCACTGCCTGGAGACTTTTTTTTTTTTGAGAAGGGGTCTTGCTCTCTTGCCTAGGCTGGAGTGCAGTGGCATCGTCACGGCTCACTGCATCGTCAAACTCCCAGGCTGGAGTGCAGTGGCATCGTCACAGCTCACTGCATCGTCAAACTCCCGGGCTCAGGGGATCTTTGGAGACATTGTTGATTGTCATGACTTGAAACGGGGGTGCTGCTGGCATCTAGTGGAAAGAGGCCAGAGGTGCTGCTAGACATCCCAGTGCGCACAGGACCGTGCACCCCACCATTCCCTGCAAAGAAGGATCCAGCCGCTATCCAGTCAGTAGTGTCAGAGTTGAGAAACCCTGCTTTTAAAAAAGAAATTGTTTTTCAATCACCTGCTCTAAGCAGAGAAATCCTATGTTGAGGGTTGAAAGGGAAGAACAGCACACTGGTCAGCTGAAGCCAAATCCACTTTTGCTACTGAGACCACTTAGGAGTCCCTATTTCAGGATTTCTGGGTGGAACTCCTCCAACTTTAGTAAAGCTGCCCTTGGTGTTCATTAGTATGAGGAAGTGTTTAAGGCTTCAGCCTAAGATTATGAATGGTGAGTGGGCCTGATCCCAAGACACAGAGACAGTCTATTTTGGTCAGAGTTAGGTCACAACCTAAAATGAAAACTGTTATGTAACCTGTGCTAAATACCAGCTGAATGCTTTGAGGCCGGGCGTGGTGGTGGTGCCTGTAATCCCAGCTACTTGGGAGGTTGAGGCAGAATTGCTTGAACCTGGGAGGCGTAGGTTACAGTGAACCAAGATGGCACCACTGCACTCCAGCCTGGGTGGCAGTCACAAAACTCTGACTCAGAAAAACAAAAAGCTTTGAGATTTGCCTGCGCCTGGATCCCATAGTCTATGCTCTCTTTTATAACTGTTTTCTCACAGTCTGCTTTGCCGTGTGTTTGTGACAGTGTCTTAACTGTTCTAGAGGGTAAGATCCTTGATGACAGAAGGATCTGTGGGCCAGGCGTGGGATCTTGTTCTTCACAGTGTGTGAGGCCCTCGGTTTGCATATGCTTCATTGAGTCAGTGAACTCACTCTACCCGCTCTCACCCCCGGGCTTAGGTTTGCAGTACCTGAAGCGCTAAGCACCATACAGAAGGCTGAGGAGGTTCTGTCGCTGCACTGTGGCCCATGGGATGATGAGATCCAGGAGCTCCAGAAGATGAAATCCTGTTTACTGGACTTAACACCCACCCCTGTAGGGTCTTCAGTGTAGGGTCCCAGGAGGATTTTGAACACAGAAAAGGAGCCCATGGAGTGGGTTCTGCGGCCGGGCGTGGGTTCTGTGGGCCGGGTGTGAGGGGTGAGGCGGACTCAGAAAGTGCAATGAGAGAGACACCTGTTTTGGTGACTGTTTCTTGAAATAGTTAACTGCCCTCCAGTAAAAACTCCCAGTCGCTAGGAAAGACTTAAAGCCAGTGTCTGGAGATTCCAAGTCCTTTAAAAGGGTTTTAGCTGCTCTGCAGAATCTGGATGCTGGCCGGGGTCTTGGCTGGATTCCACCTCACTAAACGCTGATGGTGTGTTTTCCTGGAACATTCCTATGGTTTTAGAGGTAATGAAATGCTGTGTGCCACTCCAGCAGGAACCTCAACTCTTAGCAGTTGTGTTGTAATTGAAAAATAATTAGAGGGCCGGGCGCGGTGGCTCATGCCTGTAATCCCAGCACTTTGGGAGGCTGAGGCGGGTGGATCATGAGGTCAAGAGATTGAGACCATCCTGGTCAACATGGTGAAACCCCATCTCTACTAAAAATACAAAAAATAAGCTGGGCATTGTGGCGCATGCCTGTAGTCCCAGCTACTCAGGAGGCCGAGGCAGGAGAATTGCCTGAACCCAGGAGGCGGAGGTTGCGGTGAGCCGAGATCACACCATTGCACTCCAGCCTGGGTAACGAGCGAAACTCCATCTCAAAATAAATAAATAAATATATATATATATATATATATATATATATATATATATATATATATTAGAAAACAGGAAATCAGTAAGCCTGCTTGCCTCCAGAGACACAGTGTTCCACTTATGCCGTCAGGCTCCTCAAATCCTCCTACAGTCGGTGGGGTATATATTGTGACCAGGGAAGTAACTGTGGAGCCATTTTATTGAGCAGTTTCCTCCGGGGATGACAGCTCTAGATTTGTTTTCTGCCAGTTTCCAGTGCTTATTCTCTGCCCTTCATTCTATACTCAAACTCACAGGAAAGACTTTGTAACACATATGCCTCCTTTCTGAGTTCTATTTGTTAGCGAGCCTGAATAGAGACTCCTTTTCCTACCAGACCTCTCCAAACTGGCGAGTAGAATACAGACACTATGAGAAATGGGAGCTGCAGGGTTTCCGGAAATGCTGAGGTCATGGATGCTGCTGTTTGTGGTTCAGACTTAGGAGACGTTCGAGACCAGCCTGGCCAATATGGTGAGACCCCGTTTCTACTAAAAATACAAAAATTGGTGGTTGGCGTCTGCAGTCCCAGCTACTCAGGGACCTGAGGCAGGACAATCGCTTGAACCCGGGAGGCAGAGGTTGCAGTGAGCCAAGATCGTGCCATTGTACTGCAGCCTGGCAACAGAGCAAGACTTCATCTCAAAAAAAAAAAGCGAGACAGAAGGTAGGGATGATGGATCTCTTCCACCAGGATGTGTAGCAGTAGCCCAGACTGACCACTGGTGACCAAGTAGTTGAGGTGCGTTAGTTGGAAAGAATGCCAGCTCCATGCTGCTTTTGAGAGTTTCCAGCCTGACCAGGCCCAAGAAGTGCCCATCAGTTGCCACTGCACTATGATCAGGAAATCAGTAGCCCCGCAGACACCTGCCAGTAGGGTTTAGGAACCTGTTTGAAATACAACTAGCACTCAAACGTGTTGAATGAGGGGCAGGGCAGGCAGAACATCATTTCTCCCTTTGACAAGGGAGTGGCCAGTGGTTTTTTGGTAGAGCTTTTTCAAGAAAAAATTGTCATCTTGCAGACAGTCCAGTAGCCCCTCCTTTTTTTTTTTTGAGACAGTTTTGCTCTTGTTACCCAGGCTGGAATGCAATGGCGCAATCTCGGCTCACCGCAACCTCTGCCTCCTGGGTTTAAGCAATTCTCCTGCCTCAGCCTCCTGAGTAGCTGGGATTTCAGGCACGTGCCACCATGCCCAGCTATTTTTTTGTATTTTTAATAGAGACGGGGGTTCACCATGTTGACTAGGATGGTCTCGATCTCTTGACCTCGTGATCCACCCACCTCGGCCTCCCAAAGTGCTGGAATTACAGGCTTGAGCCACTGCGCCTGGCTTGGTAGCCCCTCTACTTCAAACACTGGGCATGCTTCATGCTCCTGGAAAGCCCCATTGTCCTTTGTAAAAGAGGGATGCCTCCTTACAAAGAACAGGATTAGAATCTTGCCTTCTCAGGTACATTTTCTGTGTCCTTGGAAGCTTTCTTTAAATGACGTGTAAAATAATGATCTCCTTAAGTTACAGATGGCTTCTCATCTGCCCATGTGTGGTTTCTAGCATGCTTCACTGATTACGGGAGCAGGAAATGCCCTCCCAGGAGGATTACTGGTCCTAGTACAGAAACACCCCAGAGCAGAGAAGCGTTCCCTGCTTTATCCAACACAGATAACTAAAAGTCCTTTTCTTTTTTTTTTTTCTTACTCTGTCACCCAGGCTGGAGTGTAGTAGCACGATCTCGACTTACCGCAACCTCTGCCTCCAGGGTTCAAGCGATTCTTCTGCCTCAGCCTCCCGAGTAGCTGGGACTACAGCGGAGTGCCACCATACCCAGCTTTTTTTTTTTTTTTTTTTGTAGAGATGGGGTTTCACTGTGTTAGCCAGAATGATTTTGATCTGACCTCAGGTGATCCACCCACCTCCGCCTTCCAAAGTGTTGGGATTACAGGCATGAGGCACCGCTGCCAGCCTAAAAGTTCTTATAAATGGTGACTTTTTGCAGAGTTTAGATAAAAGCAGGCTAAAAGCACAGGACTAACAAATTCCCAAAGAGCAATTTCTCTTCATATTAAATGTAGCCTAGCTCAAAGTAGGAGGAGGAGGAAGTACCAGGAGTGAAGGATCGAGCTCTTTTATTGTATGCACTGAAATGTAACAGGGCAGCCTTCGGGTGGTGTGGAATCTGTCCCTCTGGGGTTTTCTTCTAGGGCACTGGAATATGAAACTGGGGGATTAGGTGCCCCTGGGGTCCAGAATCTTGCCAATGAAGAGAAGGGCCCCGGTGTCTGTGTCCCTCAGTACAAAGATGAAAGGCTGGTTGAGGTGATAGTCCAAGGGGAAGGTGAGGTAGGCAGGCTGTGGCCCTGGGCCGGGGGTGGCCCCAGCCCCTGCCCCTTCCTCATTCCACTCGAAGCCAGCCCGGTGTTCCACTTGAGTCAGCTTGATAGGTTTGCCTGTGATCTTGCTAAAGTCTGGTGAATCAAACAGGGATTGCAGCTCTGTAGAGATTGAGAGAGATTTCCGTTAAAACCCTGCCCTGCCTGGCACCCCAACCGAGGGGTCCAGTTGCAGGCAAACTGGGATGGCATATCACCATTGACTTTCTGTGAGGCATGAAGAGCGCTGAGCTGGCTAAGGGTTAAGTGACTCGCCCAGGAGCACTTAGCAAGTCGGAGAGATTAGAACACAGGCCGGACAGACTTGACTTGAGGGGCAGTGTTCTGAGCTCCTGTCACAGGAGGTGGCTCCTCAGGCTGAGGAAGGAGTCTGATGAGAGAAGGCAGTTCAGCCTTCCCTTCTGGCATTATGAGGATGAAGAAATCATCCATGGCCTCCCTACAAAGCCGCAGAGCCCTTGAGTTCTGCTTACCAAAGTAAAGGGCCCAAAGACCCCACCCCACCCCCCAAGAGCAAAAGGGGCTTGCAGACGTACTCATCTCCTGCAGGGACTTGGTAACTTCGCCTTCGTAACTCAGCTTCAGCTTGGGGACGGTCAGGACTGCTTGGATGGTCTTCAGTTCTCGGTCTATGTCATGAATGAACTCAGAGGTGAGGCTCTCTTCTATCAAGGTCAAATTCTGGGTCACTTTCAGGGGCAGGAAGAAGATGATACTCATGCTTCCGGTCAAGGGCAGCTGGGCAATCTGAGACAAGTGAGAAAGCACATGGGTTAGTCCTTGAGAGCCGGAGAGCAGGTGGACACAGCTGAGAGCTGCCCTCCCTTTCCCGGGGTGGGGCCCTGCCTTGTCTTCCGCCAGCCCCTCTGTTTAGCAACCCCCCTCTAGGTTATTGCTTTCTGGCAGCAAGCCCTCTCCTGATGTTTCTTCAAAGACTGTGCTGTTGTCTTTCCTCACCTGGGCCTGATACCAACTGAGTATCTGCTGAAAGAATAATGTCCTGTGGTTCTGAGGAGCTAGAATTTAATTTTCAGGTCTTTATTTTCTCCCCAAGTCCTTCTGCCAACATTTACTGATCACTCGTTAGGGGAGAGTGCTGGACTAAGGGAGAACCCTGGGTGGGAATGCAGAGGCAGCAGGAGGAGGGCTCGGAGGCACCACTGCAGCCACCAAGAGCAAAAGCATCCTCTGAACAGAGGCTCTTAACCCAAGGTCCATGGAACGGGTGGTGTCAGGGTCCCAAGAGCCCCCTAAGGTCGTTGATGGACGTGTGTGTGCATAGCTGGCGGTGTGAGACCTGACAGCTGTGTATATTCCGCCTGCTGTGTGACTATGGGGATCTGACAACCCTGCCTGAAACTATCCCGGGTTCCCCCAGTGCTGTCAGATTCCCAGAGATCGTGTCACAGCCGTGGCCCAAGGAAGTCTAGCAGTCACAGACTGAGAGCTAAAAGAAGTCAGGGGCACATGAGAGCCTTAGAATGCCAGTGAGTGGCCAGGCACGGTGGCTCACGCCCGTCTTGCCAGCACTGTGGGAAGCCAGGGCATGCAGATCACCAGGTCAGGAGTCCGAGACCAGCCTGGCCAACATGGTGAAACCTCGTCTCTACTAAAAATACAAAAATCAGCTGGGCATGGTGGCGAACGCCTGTAATCCTAGATACTCGGAAGGCTGACGCAGAAGAATCGCCTGAACCCGGGAGGCAAGGTTGCAGTGAGCTCAGATCTCACCCCTGCACTCCAGCCTAGGAGACAGAAGAGTCTGTCTCAAAAAAATAAAAAAAGAATGCCAACAATTTGGAGCTTGTCATTATTTTTCAGTGTTTGTCTTTAAATTCTAGAAGCGAAGTCTCAAGAGAAAAGAGGAGAGAACAAATATTTGAGCACCCATTTCATAGGATGTTCGTCCTTAGAGCAAACCCCAGAGGGTCCGTGTTGATAACCGTTCCCTACCACACCTTTTTTTTTTTTTTTTAAATGAAGGACAGGGTTTCACCGTGTTGGTCAGGCTGGTCTTGAGCTCCTGACCTTAGGTGATCCCCCTGCCTTGGCCTCCAAAGTGCTTGGATTATAGGCGTGAGCCACCATGCCCGGCCCCCCATCTTAAGAAGAGGAACGGCTCAGAGATCTTACTAACCAGCTCAAAGTCACACAGCAGGCAGAATATACACAGCTGTCGGGCCTCAAAGGTCATTCTGTTTCCACTACACTATTCTGCTTCTCTGTCCCCTCCCCCCACCCACCGTCCTCCCTGCCCCCACAGACCTTGCAGCTGAGATCAGAATCCAAGCCATAACGCAAAATAGCCTTAGGGTCTGACATCATGGGGACCCTCACAGTCCTGTCTTCATCCAAGTGGAAATCCTCCAGGGAAGTCTTTCTGGAGTCAAACTTTGTTACCCACTGCCCTGGAATGAAATGAATGAAATATTCTGAGCCCAGGAGACCAGAAAGACAGTGGGACCATGCTGTGTCCCCACAGTAAGTTGAAAATTACCCGACTAAAGGAACCTTAGCTGTGAAGGGCTCTGACGCATCAGGGAATCGGCCTATCTCACTGTGTGGTTTGGACCCCACAGTTATTTCCAGGACCCTGAGTACCCTTCACAAACAAACTCAGATGCCAACACGTTGATCTGGTTGATTAGACTCTAGATTGTACATGTTCTGTGATAACCTGCAAGAAAAGTAAACCGGTGGCTTGGCACGGTGGCTCACTCTTGTCATCCCAGCACTTCAGGAGGCCAAGTTGGGGGAATCAACCTGAGGTCAGGAGTTCAGGACCAGCCTTGCCAACATGGCAAAACCCCATCTCTACTAAAAATACAAAAGTTAGCTGGGTGCTTGTAATCCCAGCTACTTGGGAGGCTGAGGCAGAGGTTGCAGTAAACTGAGATAACACCGCTGCACTCTAGCCTGGGCAACGAGCGAAACTCCGTCTCATAACAAAAACTAAACTTGTGTACACTACTCCATCAGTGACTCTGGGAGACAGTCAAGGAAGGTCTGAGCTGGAAGAGGCCTCTGAGGTCCTCGGGAATGTCCCCTCGTAGCTGAAAACCTTCTGAAGCCAAAGAGGTGGCGTGACTTGCTGACTCTCGGCGCCCCCTGAAGGCCACGCTCCTTTAGTTTCCTGTGAGCTGCTCTTTCCCTCGCTGGAGACCAGTGCTTGAAGCAGGAAGCCACTTGGGATTTTTCTCCAGTCCAGGGGGCTACTCTGGCTGGTGCCTCATAGACGGTTACAAAGCATTTTAACAGGAGTTCCCTAGCCCTTACCCGATGCCACCCCACAAGGCCTTCTCTGAATGGAGCTAGCCCCACACTAGGCCTGTGGAACGATCTCCAGACACATCACCACAGCCTAGAGGATGTTGCTGACCACCTGCCACGTCTCAGGTACAGCACTAGGGCTGCTGTGAAACTTGGGGACAACATACAAGGTGTCTGTGAAGTTGGTGTATTATCCTGACATTAAAGGTGAGAACGTAGGCCTGGAAATGTTATGAAATGTGTGCAGAGTTCTACTCCATAGCACAGGCAGAGCTGGGATTTAAACCTTGTCTGATTTGGCTCACACCTTTAGTCCCAGCACTTTGGGAGGCTGAGGCGGGCGGATCACATGAGGTCAGGAGTTCGAGACCAGTCTGGCCAACATGGCAAAACCTCGTCTCTACTGAAAGTACAAAAATCAGTCAGGTGTGGTGGCACGCACCTGTAATCCCAGCTACTTAGGAGGCTGAGGCAGGAGAATCACTTGAACCTGGGAGGTGGAGGTTGCAGTGAGTCAAGATCACACCACTGCACTCCAGCCTTGGCGACAGAGTGAGACTCCATCTCAAAAGAAATAAATAAATCTTGTTGATTCAAAAGCCAGAAATCTCATTCAGTGCCCAGACCAAGACAGGCCCAGTGTTCATTCTCTTTCCCTCTCTCTCTCCACAAGTCTCTGACACTCTGTAGACATTCATGCTTTCCCTTGGATTTTCTGACAAGCAGATACACTCCAGGTGAGTTCGGTTTCCAGATCCTCCCCAAGCTGTGCCCCTGTGTCCATGTTGGGCCAGGTCTTTGCCACCTCCCCTTTCCAAGCCCCATCTGATGCCTGCCCTCCACCTCTGGTCAAAGAAGTGGAAAGCCGGACATGGTAATCCCAGCATTGTGGGAGGCCAAGGTGGGAGGATCACTTGAGCCCGGGAGTTTGAGACCAGCCTGGGCATCATAGCAACACCTTGTCTCTTACTTTAAAAATAAATTTAGGCCAGGCGTGGTGGCTCACGCCTATAATCCCAGCACTTTGGGAGGCCGAGGCAGGTGGATCACAAAGTCAAGAGATCGAGACCATCCTGGTCAACATGGTGAAACCCTGTCTCTACTAAAAATAGAAAAATTAGCTGGGCATGGTGGTACACGCCTGTAGTCCCAGCTACTCGGGAGGCTGAGGCAGGAGAATTGCTTGAACCCAGAAGGCGGAGGTTGCGGCGAGCTGAGATAGTACCATTGCACTCCAGTCTGGGTAACAACAGCAAAACTCCGTCTCAAAAAATATATATAAATAAAAAATTTAAAAAATAA